AATATAAGAGACTCATATATAAACATTCAGTGTGGCCAATTTGTGAGTTCGTCTTTTCAAACATAATAAATGTTACAAATAACAAATCTATTGATGAATTCTTCAAAATTCAGCCTCTCGTCCCTTGAGATATCCATAATATGAGATGAAATCATTCCATTTCGTTTAAACTGATGAAGGAACTATCAATTTACTTTTTCCACAATAATGTGAGTAGATCCGAAGGTTCAATTGAATTTCACATTGCCTTACTTTCCAAAAAGATAACTTTTTCTAGGTCTCATCTACCCCAGCGGGACTCGAACCATAACAGTACAGCATATACTCTCGACACGTTGACCACTACGTTACATTTTCATGAGTGCGCTCTGGTCACAGGTACAATGTGAATATCAATAAAGGCCAGGTATTTGCCTCAAATCAGATTTTGTGGTGGGATTATCGATAAAGCAAAGTTGTATTTGCTATACTTATTGACTACTTTACTTTTTACCTAAACGAAACAGGGTAAGTACATCCCATATATATAATCTACAGAGAGTCTCAAAAGCCTAGTTATAAACAAATAATAAGCACTACCATCAATTTCTATAGTAAATACAACTTTATTTCCTCGACAATCCCACCAGATAATCTGATATGGGATAAGGGCCTGGTATTATAATTCACAAGAGCCCTGCGACCCAAGAGCCCTCGTGGTAATGTGGCGTAGGGGTTAACTTGTCGAGATTATACGCTGAACTTTCATGGTTCGAGTCCCGCTGGGGGTATTGATAAGACCTAGGCGAGATCGAAACTGCAGTCCGCCATGGATGAGAATACCATTTTGGAAAGCAAGACTATGTGAAATTCAATGGAAACGTAAGATCCACTCATATTATTTAGGGAAACTATCAGTCGCCTAATCACCTTAAACGCAGTAGAGTGAATATATCTCATATATATGATCTACTGGTGGTCTCAAAAACCTCCCCTATGAAACTTAACATGATAAATCATTGTATACAAGTTTCCTGTTTAATCCTCATGTAATGTTGGCTACAGTTATTTAAATCCTACCCATTTCAGTGTAGGCTTTAAAATCGACACTAATTCTTGAATAATTGCCTTAGTCACTTTCTCTTAGCCTCACTTAATATGGCCCATTTACTTATTCACATCATTCTGTGTTCTCGTTCCCTCCAAGTGGAGTTAGTGAAAACAGAATCACCTTCATCACCGGTCTTAAATGCTGTGTACAACAGGGCTTCTGAGTCTAAAGCATAACAAGAAAAAGAAGCCTAGGCATGAGACTCATCTTTTTTTAATTTTGGAATTTTACGTAAAAAGATACCGGAATTTAAGGCTCATGGACAACCAGACAGTGATTTTCATGTGTACCGGGGAATATCTAGCAGGCGGGATGGAGGCGGGCTAAATGAAAGTCAAAAGGCCTGCTAACGACATCGGAAACCGGTGGTGAAGGAAATACTGTTTCACTAAATCCACTTGAAGGGATACATTTTAAGACGGCATTAGGGAAAACAATAACACAGATTGGTGTGAATAGGTAAATGGGAAAGCGATTCGGCACTAAAATTTAGGACAAAACATAGGGGTGAAAGTGATGCCACAAAGGTTGAACAGAAAATTGGTCAAGTTAATTGACTTCACTTGTCACTGTGATCAATTATAATTCTATGCTAGCAATGATGCTTCTCAGTGACGATGCCGACTACAATGCCGGCGATATGTCTGTGAATGTACCATATCAACGGTCCGCTGTACTAGCCAGATTCGAGTCCTGCTTGAGGTCAAAACTACAGTCAACCCTTGATGAAAAAAACATTTTGGAACTATAGTTTAATGGAAAAAGACGTAGGATTATGTACGCTCCACAAGGTATCCCTGTTTCCCAGAATAACTTGCGTAAACGAGGTGGTCTTCATATCTACGATCTATTCATAGAATTAGGGCAAATCTAACTATCAGTTATTTATCACGTCATGCTATCTTTTGTGGGTGGAAACCATATCAAAGTATGGTGTCAGATATAACTTATAGGCATAATTGGTCCCAGTGAGGCATGCTCTTCCGAGACGTCTTCACATTTCCAGTCGCTCCCTCCGTGTTTCCAGGCAGCTACCTTGACGAGTCCCGGATCGAGGTGACCTGGGCCAAGCCGGTCGAGAAGAGTGACTCTCTTCGTCTGACTCGCAGCAGCAGTGGAGGAGCCAACGGTACTGGAGTTGGCATAGGACGCAACTCTGTCTCCAACGGCGTGACGACCGGATGCCTGACTTCGAGTTGTGGAGGTTCTGGCGTTTCAACTGGCAGTTTTGGCCATTTGTTGGCCGGTCCACCTCAGCCATTGTCCCTGTGTCTGAGTCCCGGCAAAGCCAACTCATCCGGACTGACTAATCTTTTCGGCCAATACCTGCCGTTGTCTTCCCGTCTTCAGTCGGCCAACGCCTCTATCGGCGCCACGATCACTTCTGCCGCATCCGACCTCCGGTCTCAGACTCTAACCGGTCCAGTTTACCCACTGTTGGTAGACGGTCAAGCCGGACAGACGGCGACTCGAGCCACACTTCAGGGACATCTGGCTAGGCTGTCTACAGACGCAGCTTCACGTACTTGCCTGCCCACCAGCTCTTTTGCCTCCTCTCCTTCTGCAGACATCGTATCCATTTTGTCCTCATGCTTCTCTTCACCCTCCAACCTGGTTGCTGCTTCTACTTCCTCCTCCACTTCTTCCTATGCCCCCCTGCACTCGTTTCACATGCCCCAGATGCCTCTTGTTGGTCTTCTTTCAAGCCCTCTGGCACCCTCCACCTCCGCCAGATGCCTGCTGGCACCTGGAGACCTACTTCTGCCCACACAAATGGCATCACAACCTCAACATCTACAGCAACATCAGCAGCACCAGCACCAGCAACAACATCAACAACACCAATTTCAACAACAAAATCAAAATCATCAGACTCATTATCAGCCCAATTGGCTGTCGACAGAGTCGTCTGCCCTACACAGATCGCCACGTTACGCGACACGAAGCAATCTTTTAGCCTGTCCATCTGGAACAAGCAGCATTATTGGCGGTCTTGAGATGTCCCTTGGCTTTCCCAACCCTAATTGCCTGATTGGTACTGCTGATGCCTCCTCCACCTTTGACCATAATGGCACGATCGAGACAAATGCAAGCGACGCCAATTGCGACGAGTTGACCAGAGGTGGAGCAGTATTCACTGGCTCTTCTGCCAGTCCCTTTCTGGGAAACACAAGTCTGCCCTCCAGACAGACCGACGCCACGTCCGGGCTCAGCCTCCGACTTGTGGAAGCCGGGGCTCAGCACTTGGCCGGCCCACCGTCCGGCGTTTGGCTGGGCCAACCTGGGGGTTCTATCAGAATGGCCACTGCTGGTGGAGCTGGCCTCTTTAACGGTCTGTCTGGACAAAAAAGAGCAGCATTTGGAGCACAGACTACTACCCCTACAGTCCCGTCGGCTGCCTCTTTGGGCGACAGCTGTTTGGCCAGATGCAGAGGCGATACCAATTGGCTAATGAAGAATACCGCCTTCCTTGAAAGCGCCAATGGCAGGGTAATTAAACTGACCATAAATTATGTTACTGGTTCGACCATGTTTTGGCAACTTGGTTGGAGCATCAGGGAGACCTTGTGGACCGTACCCGGTCTCGTGTCCTGTGTCATAGTATTCGTGATTTTCAGCATTTCACCATTGGCTGGGTACATTCCCAAACGTTCTCCTGCGTCGTAGTTGGGATCGTCAGTGAGAGGCGCCATCGTAAGCACAAAGGTATAACTTATCAAAGTGACACATGAAGGAAATCTCCTTGAACAATTTTCTGTTCAACCGTTTTGGCATCACGCCTCATCCCTATTTTATATTCCACTCTTTAGTTCCGCATTTCTTGTCTGGACTTTGAGATACGTCAGCCTAGAAGCATCTTCATTTTTTCCAGATGGTTGGATCTATATATTCCATATGTATTCAGCTTCTTCTGGTGCCTCTTTTGATTAGGTCTGATATCCTTTTCGGCATTTTGTCTGTCACCTTCTGTAGTTTCAGGAAATCCTCCTGTATGAGAATCTGACTCTAATCATGTCTGAGCCTAGATTTAATATCTATAAACTTAAATATTTTTAGAAGGTATGAAGACCAAGATGGTGTGACTTTTTGTGTGTTCGCAGTCTCCTTTCGCTGTATAGGAGTTGTTTGACCTTGTTTTCGCAACTTGGTCATATTGGAAAGAATACTTGGAGAAACGCACCTAGTCCGGAGTCCATAGTATGCAG